TAATCGGATCGGGTTGTGATCCGACTCCACACGGTCAAGAGCGGTCAGAGTTTCCGGAGATACCAAGTCTTCAAAACTTGAGTTGACGAGCGCTCTGTCAATACGGGAATATGAACTCTCCCCACCTCCCCTGCTCCACGTGAACCTGACCCCTTGTATCGGAAGATCCACCAGATTGCACCTATTGATCAAGTTGTTGAATTCATTCATGGTCTCCATATCTCTCGGACACCCTATGTATTCTTCCTCTGATCTGACAAGATTGAAGTCACCAATGATGCATAGTGCAGCCAAGTATTCCCTGCAAACAGACTCGATTTCCTTGAGGAATTCGAGTTTCTCTCTTTTGTCTTGAGGCCCATATACAACCAGGAAAGAGATAATGTCCTCTGTTTCAATTATTTTCAGGCGAACCGCTAAGGAGAATTTTCCTTCCCATACCGTCAATACCTTGTAAGTAGTAGGGTCCCAAAAAATGATGATGCCACCGCTAGCTCCGACTGAATCTTTGGCGACCCACTCACTGGACCTGCAACCACTTACTGACGAGATCAACTTACTGTCACACTTCTGCCATTTGGTTTCCGTGAGGCCCACTATGGAAGGTTTCCATCTCTTCAGCAACCGCTTAATTTTCGCCCTCTTATTCGGATTTCCCAACCCCCGCACATTCCAAGCAATAAAGGAATGAGACATGACAACACTGAGCCGTAGGCAGTAAGAAGAACCGACACGTCTAGGCCGTGTGACTAGAGCGGTTTCGAGCTCTGGAGGTTGGGGGAGGTTGATCCAGGCCGAGACGTCGCAGTTCCATTTCCAGCTTAGACCTTGCTTCCCTCTTTCTCTTGCGATGAGAGTCGGCTGCAATTGACGCAACCTTATGCTTCGCGTTATCGACAGAGATTGAGTCCGTGAGTTTAAGAATATCGTAGATCTTCAGACTCTGATCAATTAGGCAGTTGAGGTCTTGCTGGCTGCGCCAAGCTTCAAGATAGTCGGAACTGAGAGGGTTGAATGGGATGATAGCTAGTTGATTTTGCTCCATGGGGTCAGAGGAAACAGGGGAGGATAAATTCTCACTGTCGGGATCAGGGACAATCGGCGAAGGGCTAAAATCTACGGACGGCGAATTTGGAGAGGGATTTTCAGTCGGGGAAGGTTGATTTTCTGTAGGAGGTGGGAGGAGAACGGGGAGGAAGGTCGGGGTAGGGAGGAAGGGGCAAAACGGGAGGTGGAAAGTGATTGCAGGGGGGATGGCTAATGAAAGGATGGTAAATGCTGCATCCACGATGAGATTTGGGGAATACGATGTAGTATTGCGGAGTATGATGGAGGGGCTGGGTCTTGGAGGTGGACCAGGGGGGTATAAGGTGACCGAAAGAGATTGGGTCGGCCCGATGGAAAGGGAGGAGGTGTTGGGTGGGCTAAGGTCCAAGCAGGGTGAAGAGAGGGATATGGATTTGGGTACTGGGCTAGGGTCCGAACAGGGTGAAGATAGGGGGCTGGGTTTGGGTAAAGGGCTGGCTTTGCGGATCCAGACCCATTTCGTCTTCGCCTTACTGGCCACTACCGCCTGGGGATTGGGAGCCTGTAAGTCTTGCCTGCGGAGTAAAGGTTCGGAGAGACCTCAAAGTTGTAGCGCAGCCCAAACATCTTGGAGCCCGTGAAATCTCATCAATCATCACTTTCCCTGGAGCGCATGTCTGAAAGACTTTATCCAACAAATGGCGACGGTTCAGTTCCGCCGTCGGGTCAGCCGCATCCGGCGCCGGCAAGATTTTGACGATGAACACAGTTGTCCCAAATCTTATCGGCACTGATTCTGGAATCTTCTTACTTGGCCGGACCTTGATGCGGACACACGGGTCTGTCCACGAGCTGTGATCGATGTCGACAAATTCCCCACAGATTTTTCCGATATTTTCCAGGACCTTTGACGAACGTAGGAAGGGAGGGATTCTGAATACCATGAGCCACTGCAGAACACCCGGGGGAGCATAACTGCGCCCGTCAGCCTCTCTCCAGAACCTTAGCAGGACGTTCCATTCTCGGAACTTAGCATGACCGTCTTCTTGGACCCTAATGGCTTCCGGTATAGAAGAGCAGATTAGATACCAGAGATCCCCCGCCATGTTGGAGAAAACTGATCCATCCGATAACCCCCATCGCTTTTTGGCCCAACTCACAAAATCCCCGGTCAAACAAGACGGAAGTCCCAGGTTTTGGTTATTGAAGAAATTTATCATTAGGCAACGGTCCAGATATTGCAACCTATCATTGACTCCATCTTCTTCCACCTCCAGGAAAACCTGAGACTTGTGATATTTGATGGAGCTTTTCCCTGAATCGGAAGGAAACCCCGTTTTAACAGCATCAGCAAAAGATCTGCCTTGAACCACCCAGGCACTACGCGCGAAACGGTTCCTCGAATTTGCCTTGAGTATTGGTCGACAGAGTCTATTAATCACTCCTTCCCATTCACTTGGAACGAAAGGGATGGAGATGAAGGACAGAAACCCACTCTCCGACCTTTCCGATATTTTAATAAAGTCTCCTTTCCGAGATGCAAATCTGGCAATCTGAATATTCCGAGAGGATCCTTTCTTCTGACGGATAGCCTTCACATCCCACCCCACCCTTGAAATTTCTCGAAGCGATTTGCCGAGCCACTCCGCTTGGGAAGTCTCCACATAGATAAACCTCTTCCGGCGGTCATTCTCAGCAGTTGTGATCCTTACGAAATCCTTTTTTCTTGTAACATAGTCTTCAATGATCACGGTCATAAACTCGTTACCCTGCCTGAAGTGAAAAGCGTCCGAACTTAGCTGCGAAGAACCCGAGAGGCTGCGATCACCAGAATCCCGAACCGCCGATGTGTACCTGCAAGGAAAGAATCTCTCACCGAACGACTCCCTCTCTCTAACTCTCTCTTTAACTTTCTCTCTCATCTCTCTCTCTTGTTTGTTTCTGAATACTGCTGATTAAAATGATTACCACAACGGCTCCGTTTGCACACCCCTAATCCCACTAGGCCGCAAATTTTAGTCCCATCAGGTAGGGATGACAAAAATAACCATACACATGGATACCTGGCCGAATCCGATCTAATCAAGTGGGTAAAATTAGAATCTGAAAGATTTTTTTTTATGAGTATTGCGAAAACCCAAACTCAAATATTGCGGTGATGGGTGGACATGATTTTCTCACTATCTAACTCGAACTCGTCTGATTATACACATGCATATGTATCTTGTTTACAAATGATGAATATTTTTCTCAACATATTTTATATTTATCATATAAAAATTTTCAGAAAATTGTATTTTTAGCTAATTCTCTTTATTTTGTAATTTTTTGTTGTAATTTGTATGACAATATATGTGCAATTGTTAACATGTTGGTTGAAATTATAAAGAAAAATTATTATCCATGGATAACCATAATACTCGAAATCCAATCAAGTATGAGTATGGTTTTTATATTCTACCCGACTCTTGTATGGATATGAATATGAGTATGAATATGGATAAAACTTGAACTATTTTGGGTATGGTAACGAATATGCACATTATAGCCTCGAACGAACTTGTTACTATCGCTACCAATAGGAGACGATCAATCCCACCAAAGCAAACCAACAGACAAAAATTATTGAACCCGGCCCAATGTGTTTACCTCTCTTCTAACTAAGTGTGATTTAGGTTTATATATAAATCCACTAAACCAAACCAAAGGACATAAATCATTGAGCCAAATAATTAGTCCCAATATGTGATTTAATTAGGTTTATATATAATCCCACCAAACCAACGGAACGGACAGAAATCATTGAGCAAATAATTAGACCCAATGTATTTACTTCTATTAGTGAACAGTCAGAATGAATTATGTTTATATATATTAATTAATAATATAAAATTTTCATTAAATTGTGTTGCTTTCAGCTAGTTTTTTTTTGTTCTAGTAATTCATAATTATCAATATACGTATAGTAGTTAACATGCTCGTTGAAGTTATAAATAAAAATGATTCCCCATGGACAACCTTGGTTACGTTCTCCATTAAATTTGGGTATGATTTTTATATTCATCCCAATTGTTGTGTAGGTATAGATATGAGTAAAATATGAACTATTTTAGGTAGGGCAATTGATATGCACTATCTGCCCGATTTCTTCCGTTGACAATCCTAGTTACATGATTCTCTATCGACATTTAGTGCTCTCGTACCTAAACAAAATTATCTTTCTCATTTGTTGGTGGTAAAATTCTTACAGCAAATTAATACCATTCCAATGCAGGATAATGATACGCGAGATTATGAATAGTGCGTACTCCTAAAAACATTACTCACAAGTGATGGTAAGCCGAACAACCATGCACGAACTGATGGACAGAATATATCTTGAAGTGTTTGTATTTCCAATTGGGTGACGAGGATTTGGGTGGATGGAAGGCTGGCAACCACTAGTGGGACAAAAAATGGAGAGTAGAAAAGTCTCCCGCAAAACTAGGGGTCAATCTAAGGAGAAGCCAACACCTCGATTTAATCCGCTGGCCATTCTGGATCGGTGTCAGAACTAGTTTGGCCACAAAGCACGTCGATGTTGGTTGTGCACAAGATATAGTCTGACATGGCAGTCACAAATATGGCTCAGGCGTTGAAGATGACACACTGGTGGTAGTGGATTGGAGGATGGCGCCGATGGTGGAGGGTTCTGGAGTGTCGGGTGTGGTTGTAGGAGATCGAAACGAAGAGTTATTAGGGTACACGTTGAGTTAGGATATTTGCTATTACGGCGCTTTTTAGGACATTTTGGGTTAGAATTCAGTGATTAAGCATTTTGATTTGCCGTGCCAACAAAAACTAATCCCGAAACTAATGCTGTTAACAGAGACCGACAGAAAGTAATGTTTCAGTAACCAAACTTTGACTACTGTGTGACCGAACTTACAATTTTATCCTTAATTAAAATAATAATAATTATTCTTACATGGAATTCACAAACCCACACAGTTGTTGCAGGTTGTGAACCCTCCATCCACCACCAAGTTGTGCCCACTCACATACTTGGACTCATCACTCGCCAGATACAATGCCGCCTCCGCCACATCCTTGGCTCTCAACGTCGCACCACCTTTCAAGCTCGCCAGCCCGCGCACCAACTCCTCCATCTCCTCCACTTCCTCCTCCGTCGTCGCCCTCACAACCCCGTCCCCACAATCACCACCGTCCCTCGACCTCCACGCATCCACGAGCATGGAAGTCGCCACCCCAAACGGCGAAATACAGTTGACCCTGATCCCATGCCTCCCCAGCTCGCACGCCGCGCTCTTCGTCAGCCCCACCACCGCGTGCTTCGACGCCGTGTACGCGTGGGGCCCCATCCCGCCCATCACCCCCGCCACGCTGGCGGTCGAGATGATGCACCCTCCGCCGCCGCCGCCGCCGCCCACCATCCACCGCGCCGCGTGCTTCATTCCCAGCGCCGTCCCCCTCACGTTCACCCGCATCACGGAGTCGAACTCGTCGGCGTCCAAGTCCGTGATGGACTTCCGGCCCTCTGACTGGCTGCCCAGGATCCCGGCATTGTTCACCATGATGTCGAGGCGGCCGAACTCGGACACTGCGGCGGCCATCAGGTTTTCCACGTCGCTCTCCGACCCGACGTCGCAGTGGACGTAGATGACCGCGGTACTAGTGGGGAAAGAGGAGCAGGAGGAAAGGGAACGTGCCAAGGCGTTGCCGACGGAGTCGAGGACGTCGGCGATGACCACTTTGGCTCCGTGGCTGGCGAACAGTCTCACCGTGGCTTCTCCTATCCCTCTGGCTCCGCCGGTTACGATCGCCACTTTCCCTTCCAATCTGTTCAGGTAATTAACTATATATGTTTAATTAACATAATATATATTAGGGATATATAGAGGAAGTAGTATGTATGTATATATATATCGTACCTTTTGTAAGGGAAGTGAGGAGAAGAGGTATCATTTGGAAGGGTAATATCTGCAGTTGAACCTTGAAGGGCTGTGGTGGTAATAGTAGTCTCAGTTGCAGCTGGTGGTGGTAGCTGTACTTGATGATGGTGATGATGAGCAAGCATGGTTGATTCTTGTTGAATAAGTAGAAAGAACGAACTAACCAATATATATCAGAATGAGAGGATATATAGCTTATTTATATATACACAAAGGCATATGCATGATTAATTATTAGTGTGTACATATATATATTTATACAAGGCTAAAGTTGGAGATAAGATTTGGTGGTTCCTTACATCACCAAAACACAAGAACGTATATTTATATGTATTGCCTGGAGATTCCAAAAGTGCCAAGAAATTGGGACTGGATATAGAAATAATGCATGGAAAACAGTTAGCTGGCTAGGCATGTATGTTTTCTGCACGCAATCCAAATATTAATGAGACGATGCATCTCCAAGTAGAAGAAGAGAGGAACAAGCTAAGCCAATCCAGAGACTACATTCTGTAACAAAAAGTCGGCCGTGCTTGCTTCCAAATCTAGCTAGCTACCTATTTGGAGGCTTTTTTTGTTGGAGATACACAAAGAACTTGAGGAATCTATATAGGATGAGGATAACCGTTAGCAGTTCACATATATAACGGTTAGGGTGGGGAATCCACGTATAGGTGTCATTCTGCGTGTGAATGATCAAGCGCGCGATCTCAATCGTTAAATAAATACATTAGCGTCATCGTTAAATACTTGAATTGATTCATCAATCGAGTGGAATAATAACAGTGCTAGATAATTAATGATCCATGGTAAGTAATAATGTTAGTGTGCTTACCTCCAAAGTTGGAAATTGTTAAATCACACAAACACAAATTTCAGACAATCAGTTGTCCACACTATCACCAACCTTATGAGCACAATAGCAAAAATAGAAAAGAATATGTATAGCTTTTGATCCTTTTCCCCCCCACTAATCATTGTCTTCTCTCATTTCGCACAAGCATAAAACGGTAGCATATCATACTTGATATACAATATTCTACAATTTTTCCAATTTGACCGGAAATCTGAAAGTTAAATCCACCGCAAAAGGGCAATGATCCAATACAAAGGCTTATTCGTGTTCCATCTTTTGTAGAGCTTCATAAAGCATAATTGTTAACACATGTTATTAAGTACAACTTTTAAATATACAATTACGTCTTTTGCATGCAACAAATTAAACTCCTGTTATATGCTCATATCACCACCGATTACACTCTCTCTTGTTTTATTTATTTATTTTTAACAAAGCAATGCATCAAAGTTTACATAGCAAATGCAGAAAAATGATACAATACTTTTGGCGAAAACCTGCCGACATTCCTTGAGAAGCAAAAACAAGTATAACCAAGTTGTATTTGAGCCACATTTTACATTTCTAACTCTATTGATAGAAGACGTCAATTAAGAACACAAATGAGGCTCTGAGGAACGGTTTCGATAGCCTTACTCAGAGCAATGAACGCTCAAGAGTCAGATCTCAACTATTGGATATGAATTATATAGGGGTCATTAATTTGGATAACATATTTCAATGTAGGATTTTAACTAAATAATTCGTTTGAGAAATGAGAGATTCTTAAGATTAAGGATTTTACGAATTTGTCAATGAACGTTTCCAAGATAGCTTATACGCATCAGCTATTTTAAATCTCTATAAAAAAAAACCCCAATACTAACCTCGCTAAAAAAATTTCCCTCCAAGATATCATATTTTAAAAATATAATATCTAGTCTCCCCTTCTATACTTTATGCACAAATTAGGGCGACAAATATTAATGTCTGGTCTCCACTTCTATACTTTATGCAAGATTATGATTTTGTATAATGTCACTAGCCAGGAGATTAGGGAATGACTAGGGTAGAGAACTTATTTCAGATCAACTTATTCCAATGGACTCTAAGCATAAGAGGTCTGATTATTTTCTATACCATTTTCATCTTGAATTTTGGAAATGCATTACCATTCCAGAAGGTGTCAAGAAATAGCATTCTGGTTCCCTCAACGCCAAATACAACACCATTTAAATGAAGGGTTAATACCTTATTTTGACCCGAACTATGACTATATAATCAACTTTGGCCCGTGGTTTCATAAATTAACATCCTGGACTCAACTATGCAGCATATAAACTCAATTGGCCTGACACATGTTTGACCGTCAATTTGGATAGTCAACACCGTTGACCATTAGTCAACACCCCATTTCATTGCCTTGTCAGCCTAAAAATTATTAAAAAAATCAAAATCAAATTATTTTCTTAATTTCTATTATTTATCATTTTCAAATTAACCAAAAAATAAAATTTATAAAATATAAAATAATATTTATAGTTTATTTTTTGGGATATTTGAAAATGATAAATTTTATAAATTAACCAAAAATTATCACATTAAATTTTATAAATTTAAAAAATATGAAATAAATTATATATTTCATTTTTTAGTAATGTTAAATATATAAAATAATTTGATAATTTTCGAATTACACAAAAAATAAAATAAAAATTTTTATTTTATGTTTTTTATAAATGATTTTTTGTTAAATTGATAATAAATAATAAAAATTAAAATAATAGTTTTTTGAATTTGAATTTTTTCTAAAGACTTTTAGGCTGACGAGGCAATAACATGGCATGTTGACCATCCAAATTGATGGTCAAACTAGGTGTCGGGCCAATTGAGTCTATATGTTACATAGTTGAGACCAGGATGTTAATTTCTGAAAAAACGGGTCAAAGTTGATTTTATGATCATAGTTCAAGCCAAAATAAGGTATTAACCCTTAAATGAATTTCACGAGAGATCTGGTTTATATTGTATGTTCCATCTTTGATAGTCATTCATGGCTTCATTTATCGACTTTCAATACTTATTATGATGTGAAAATCGTAAGTTATGCATTGAAAAGTCATAAAATTGAATGGTATGAAAATGCATAAATTTAATCTTAGGACTTATGATGGGATGAAACTTTCTCTCGAAATTTTTTTTTTTATTAAATTGAATTTATCTGGATTAATTAGAACATCGAGGGTAAACCCAATTCAAACAATTGTTCCAAACCAGTGTATTATTTAATCTTGCTTTAATATACTAGATCACTAATACTTGAGTAAGGTAACATACAAGATCTTAGGAAAGTACGACTCTAATGAATTTACTTTTTCAATTATCTTTGTGTGTGCTTTTAGCCACATCAACAACGAAACCCCCCACACTCTTAAGCTTTGCTCCGATCAAAACTCTCATCTCTCACTAAGTTTCAAAATTTATCTCTCCCCTCTTTCTAGAATTTATTTTACATCTTCTCCAGGAGGGCTGCTGTCCACGACTGATGGCAACTCGCCCTCTATATTTCTTTGCTTGTTTCTTTCTAGTCAGTTTTGTTTTCTTTCCAATCCTCTTTGTGGGTCTTTTTTATGATCTAAATCTAATTATAATAAAATAAAATAAACTTTCATTATAAATGTAGCTAATTGTACAAGTCCTGAGCTACAGTCATACACCGACACTCCTAAAAGGAACAATATAATAAGCCTAATTAATATACAGATAAGAAAAGTTACAAAAGAATCGTAGAAAGAAGTCAACATAATGATATAGATTTTAATAATCAATAACCATAATTTTGAGAATTAATTTCTTCAAGGTATGGAAAAAGAGTAATTAGAAATTTGGGAAGATTTTGTTTATCCGAGTTGGATGAATTTTTTGTGAATTTAGAGTTTTAGTTAAACTATAGATTAGAGATTTTGTGGTTTGAAGTTAAAGAATTTAGTAGATCGTGGGCAATCACAATCCACCCAACCCACACAATCTTTAGTGGGTCGCAAATTTTACAATCCATATACACCCATAAAATTAAAAACTACCCACGACATAATAAGAGACTCATATGTTGGTGGATGTGTAGGTTCAATTCAACCACCGGATACTTACCCCTAACAAAGGATGTCAATAAAAGAAGAGAAAGCGGATGAATATTCATGATCATAAAGGTTGGAAGTGAAGTAATTTGATGTTAATTCTCCAAACATTAAACATCATAAATGTACTTGGCATAATAACATGGTCGAGTTTTGACCAAACTCAGCACATTGCATACACGCAAATTTCACAACGAACGACGTTACTCAACTCTTAGTACTAACAGTATTCATTCTTTTAGTGTGCAGGTTGTTTACACGTAAATTTATATAAAATTATACCACATCGGTTAAATATAAGAGATTAAATGGCTTTATAAAAGCAAATTAATTATCACAATTAAAATAAAGACAAAATACACTTGTATAGCCAAAACTTTCACGTTTCTGCCAATAATAGCCAAATTTGGAGAAAAAATACCACTTATAGCCACTTCCGTGCAATACTTTAAGGTGTTATCTTACAGGGTGACTGGACTAACAACAACGGTTGACATGACATATTTTATTCAGAAATAATGACAGGTGGAAAGTCATTAAAATTTGATCCTTTAATTTTATTTAAATTAAATAAATAATATACAAAATCAATAATCTCAGTCCTCACCACCGCCGGTTCTCCTTCCCATCTTCGAAATCGCCGCCGATATTGTCTTGTTCTCTCCTATTTACTCATCTCCATCAACGAACAACAATAAAAACCCTTTCTTCTCTTCTCTTATCATCTTTATCGTCTTCTTTCTCTCTTCAATTCCGTCATCCATAGATTTCGGCATCCCCTAGAGTTGGTTGATTGGGCTCTATCCCCAATCCCCAAAAAATATACATGCTGCTTCGGGGTTGCTCAAGATTCCCTAATCCCGCAATCAAAATTGTCCCGGATTCGCCTCCAAGATTTCTCAATCTGGCGGCCAAAATCT